AAAACCATATTGATTTGAAAATGAGTGTAATTCTCGAGAACATTGCTTCCTTTATGGAAGACACTAATCGTGAGGCTCACTATGCAGGTGCAGTCTCTGAGTTTCCATCAACTTTATATTCTGCTCGAACCGGAATTGGATGTAACTCGCGACATGCGCTCATTTGCAAACTTATTTGGTTTTATCGGGAGGCTAGACTGAATCCCAGCTGAAGATCTTATTTGTGCTATTCTTCACGTGAACCTGCTGCACAAAAGCTGCGTCAATCCAAGAGGAAGCATCTTGTAAGAAACTAGACATATTGCGGCTAATTTAACGTGTCAACAAAATGATCTTCAGCTCTAACGTCATTGTGACTAGTGGATAACGCGGCTGACACATGCTTCTGATTTAAACCTTTCCAATCATTCGGGGTAGTAACAAGAAGTTGGTGATGTGCTTCAGTTAGAACCAGACGCCAAGTGGGTTGGTTCGTAAGATCTTCCAAGTGATACCTTTGTCTCAGAGAAGCAAAAATATTGCAGCCGGTCTACTGACCGCTTCATGCTGAAACGCGCTCGAGTAACGGAACACGTAATTCACTTCCTATTCAGGTGTTAACCTAAAAGACAGGTGAATCTGCTTGGATGTCAGCATCAAGGCAGCCTAAAGCCCTTTTTTATTCGTCACAAGCATCAACAAGAACACGGGAGTTTAGTACCGCTGACCTGTTTCAAGCTCGCGCATTGAGAGACGCTAAAAATAAAATTCAAAGGTTCTGTAGGTTCTGTGGTGAAACGCAATGACACTCTAGTCTAGACAAAGGCACCAACAATTCGGGTATAGACCCAAACGTTGGCTTTACTTTTAAGACTCTGTTCCTAAAACCACAGGACATGTATACATAGTTGATAAGTGGTGCGTGCATCCAAAATAAGAACTTACCAAGAGGGGAGTCCACATCTAACGCCTTGGCATACTTCTCGAAGCACTGACCAAGAAGGAATTCTGCGTGAGGGTAAGAGTTTGTAGCGGGATTGTTATGCGACCCTTCCGCGGTGGGTGTCGGGCGAATGCGAATATTAGCGCCTGGCTCTAGGCATTCCATAGACCGCTTCTTGACCTCTTCGAAATAGCTCTTGTACACATCGATTAACTTAAGGGCGAGAGGAATATAAATTTTGGATAGTTCCGATGGATGAAGCTCGGATAAAGGAAGAAATAAAGAATAGTCATACCGGATAAACACAATCAAGCCTTATATCCGTTGATTTGCGCCAGTAACCAACTCATGCTCGCCTAGTATCTAGAACACTTCATTCAACGCTACCTTCACTTACTAGTGCTAAAGGTTCCACAGATCTTGCCCACTTGTAGGGTGTGACATTACAGCCAGTTTCTGGATACCGTTTTCACCGGCCAATTTAGTACTTCCACTTTCAAAGATCACCCTTCGAACGTTGAAGTGTACCAGTTGAAAATACCATTTTACTCCTCCTCCCTTACGACGGTAGAGGACTCAGGGTAACAACAGCATCTGAGCCAAGCTTTCTCACTTGCCAAGGCTCAATGGACCCTCATCATAACACTAGGTGCTGTGTTCATTTGACGACCATGCTGACATCTGGAAATTACCAACTTTGCCAGTTCTGAAAAAGCCTACCCCGTTATCGCTCATTGCAAATAAGCCGCGCCCCGAAGTTAGATAACATCATCTCAACCAGTACGGTTAGGCTCGACATTAGAAAAGACCATGGTTATGGAAACACGTGTCTATCAAGCGGTTCACAGTGTTCTTCCACTTGCATTGTGTTATGTTGTGTCGTAATGTGATGTCAATCAAATTTAGAAACTTAACCATTTCAATGAAACTGACTTTGTTCGAAATATAATTCAATTGAATCCTCTGGGCGTGGGAGAATAAGCTCTCCCCCGGTGAGCTTAGCCACGAGGAGCGGTGGGCAGTGAAACATAGTCGAAATTC